CCGGCTGCACAGCGGTTCTGCACAAAAACAGCTCATGATGAGAAAAAGGAGGAGGAAAAAGTCTGCCAAAAACCTCTCAGCAGCTGCACTATTAAAGAAGTACCTGTCTAATCTTTACAATACCAATTTAGTCATACTGGCTCTAATCAAAGCAGATCGCTGATTAAATGAAAACAGATTGCTGCCCCGGATTTTGCGCCGTTTCCAGATTGAGGGTGCTGACACCGGAGAGCACGAGGCTCAAGCTGATTTGCTGAGTTTTCTTGATACCACGTAGTCTCCTTTAACCTAGGTCTGTTAAATTGGCATGGGATACGCGAGCCTCGGAAGGCTGTTGGCCAAATGTTGGAGGTAGAGCTCCAGTCTCACTAGACCCTGTCTGCCTGTCAGAAGGCTGCACCTCAGTCTGCCCGTCGTGTTCTTGGGATCCCTCAAGCAAAACGACTGACATGGCTTTAGGTTTATTAACAAAGCTTTCTCCTGGGGAGTCATTTCCATAGACTACAGGAAACTTGCTTGATCCTCACCAATAAATCAAAAAAAAAAAAGTATGTATAGTGTATTTCACACAGGATACTGCAGTTTATAGGGCTCATGAAGTGTTATGATTAATAAAAACACTGAAATGACACTGATAGATGTACACATTTTACATAAGCAAAAAAAAAAAGAATATAACCTGAAGAAAAACAATAATGACAAATAACACCAATACAGCACAAATCATTACAATCATAAACATTCTCTTGGTAAAAGCCAGAGTAAAAAGGTCAGTTTTGAGCTGGGCTGGATGACTGGACATAAAATCGATATCAGAATAAACAGTCGCATTTACCTTACAGAGGGAAACTGCAATGATCTGCATGGATTGCACTCACATTTGCCTTGCTCTCCTCACCAGGTACCCAGAATAACGTTTTATACTGTTTGCACCAGAAAAATGTTTTTGAGCACCCAAAATTTTTCACCACATGTTTTGGCGCCACTATTCAATTCAATTCAATTTTATTTGTATAGCGCATATTTACAACAGAA